TCACCCCGGCCCTGTCTTCCATTGAGATAGTTGTTGAGTCTCTCCATGCTTCACTCTCCTCCACTACTGACTTTTTTGCCCCTCTCCCCATCACAAGGTCCACCCTGCCAACCCCCAGCCCTGGATCACCCTGATCATCCACTTCCTCCACTCCTGCTCTCGCGCCACAATGCATCTCTGGTGAAAACTCCGTGACCAGGCCAACTTCCTCCACTACACATTCGTTCTCTCCTCCTTCAGTTCTGCCATCTTCCTAGCTAAACAACTCTGCTGCTTCAATTTAATTGAATTTCACACATGCAACCTCAGCCACCTTTTAACCTCCTTTGACTCACTCCTCAAACCTTCCAGCCTCCTCCTATCTCACTGATTTCTTCCAAGAGAAATTGACAAAATATAACAACCTGTCCTTACCACCCCCTTCGCTTGCCTTCCTTCCTGCCTTCCCCTCCTGCAACTCTCTTTTCCTTCTCACTGGTCACAGATGCAAGAGTTTCTTCTATTGTCTCTTTCTCCAACCCCTCCACTTGCCTCCCATCCCACCTCCCCATCTCCCTCATGTTCACGCTCATCCCCACCCTTACACAGCTCCTTAACTTCTCTTTCTCCTCTGGTTCTTTCTTCTCACAATGCAAACATACTTTAGTCTCCACGATTTAAAAAAATATTTTGTTCTTGAGCCCTTAATAATAGCTCTTTAAAAGACTGCCAACTCTTTTTTCCTTAGACCTGCTTCCCACAGGATCTTACCTACCAATTGCCTGAGTTTGCTAAAGTCTGCCTTCTTGAAGTCCAATTTCCTTTATTCTGCTGTTTTCCTTCCTACCATTCCTTAGAATGAACTCTCCCATTTCATGATCAATTTCACCCAAGCTGCCTTCCACCTTCAAATTCTCAACCAGTTCCTCTCTTTTTGTCACAATCAAATCTAGAACAGCCTCACCCCTAGTCACTTTCTCCACCTTCTGTAATAAAAAGTTGTCTCCAATGCATTCCAAGAACTTGCTGGATAATCTGTGCCCTGCTGTGTTATTTTCCCAACAGATGTCTGGGAAGTTGAAGTCCCCCATCACCACCAAATCTTGTCCTTTGGATGATTTTGTTAGTTTTTTTTTTTTTTTTTTTTTTTTTTTTTTAACTTCATCCACCTCTGCTTCCTGGTTAGGTGGTCTATAGTAGATCACCCTTTTATCTTTACCCAGAGGCTTTCAACAGGTCTGCCTCCCACTTCTATCTCAAGCTCAGTGCAAGTGTATACATCTTTGAGATACAAGGCAACACCTCCTCCCTTTCCCCCCGCCTGTCCTTCTTGAATAAACTGTTCCCTTCTATACCTCCATAAATCAAACTCTAATAAGCTTTCAAGCAGCATGTTTCTTACTTTGCCTATCTGCACATTTTAATCATCATCTATGGAAACATTTTTTCAATCAGTTTGTGTGCTTACAGTGAAATCAACGATTACCAACATTTACTGATAAAAATTGAATCCTTCCAACCATGGTTGTTATACTCCAACCACTGCTCAAAGCAACTAATCTAATGACCTACCACTCACAATCTAACCTCCTGAGCAAGAAAAATGAGAAGACTCTTAGGTGCAGCTAGACACTACCAAAATCCTGGATTTTTTTCTATTCAAGCTTCAGACCAGGACACAGAAGCAAAACATAGCTGGTGGCACCATTTGATGATTTTGTGCTTCAATGATCAGGAACAGTCAGCATGGATTCACCAATAGCAAGTCATGCCTGACTAACCTAATTGCCTTCTATGAGGAGATAACTGGGTCTGTGGATGAGGGGAAAACAGTGGATGTGTTATTCCTTGACTTTAGCAAAGCTTTTGATACGGTCTCCCACAGTATTCTTGCCGCCAAGTTAAAGAAGTATGGGCTGGATGAATGGACTGTAAGGTGGATAGAAAGCTGGCTAGATCGTCGGGCTCAACGGGTAGTGATCAATGGCTCCACGTCTAGTTGGCAGCCAGTATCAAGCGGAGTGCCCCAAGGGTCGGTCCTGGGGCCCGTTTTGTTCCATATCTTCATTAATGATCTGGAGGATGGCGTGGACTGCACCCTCAGCAAGTTTGCAGATGACACTAAACTGGGAGGAGTGGTAGATACGCTGGAGGGTAGGGATAGGATACAGAGGGACCTAGATATATTAGAGGATTGGGCCAAAAGAAATCTGATGAGGGTCAACAAGGACAAGTGTAGAGTCCTGCACTTAGGACGGAAGAATCCTATGCACTGCTACAGACTAGGGACTGAATGGGTAGGCAGCAGTTCTGCAGAAAAGGACCTAAGTGTTACAGTGGACGAGAAGCTGGATATGAGTCAACAGTGTGCCCTTGTTGCCAAGAAGGCTAACTGCATTTTGGGCTATATAAGTAGGGGCATTGCCAGCAGATCGAGGGATGTGATCATTCCCCTCTATTCAACATTGGTGAGGCCTCATCTGGAGTACTATGTCCAGTTTTGAGCCCCACACAAGGAGGATGTGGAAAAATTGGAAAGAGTCCAGCGGAGGGCAACAAAAATGATTAGGG